ATTGTGCAGGGGCTCTCAGGGGTTTGAGGGGTCTCTGTCATGGAGTTTGGTGCTGCCTGGGAGGGGGGTTCATGTCCTGAGGGGACTTTGGGGCACTGAGGGGGGACCCTGTGATGGGGAGGGGCCTGGGAGATGCTCGTGGGGGGGAGTGTGAGGGTATCCCTCTCATGGAAGAGCTCTGGGGAGGGTCCCTGCTGTGGGGGAGACCCTGGGAGCTGGGTGGGAGTGGGAGGCCTTGCTTGGGAGGGAGTGTGGGATCTGGGGTGTGTGTTTGGGGGTGCCTGCTGAAGGGTGCCCTGTGAATTGGGGGGTGAAGCTCCTGAAGGAGCACTAGGATGTTGTTGGAGGACGCCTTTCCTTGAGGGGGCACTGGGGGGATCCCTGTTGTGAGGGGACCTTGCAGCGTTGTTCAGGGGGTGTCCTGCTGGGGGTGTCCCTGCCAAGGGGGTGCTCTGAGGCAGTGGGCTGTCCTGTGGGGTCCCTGCAGCTCAGAGTGTGGGGGGCCAGGTCGTGGTGCCAGCGGCACACCCCGATGCTGCTGCTTCTTTGGCATGATGTCAGGCGGTGGCACCAGCATGGCTGCTGGGCTCTGGGCCACTGCCAACAGCCTTTGGCTTGGATTACCAGGAAGCTTCCTGGGGGTCTGCTTGGTTTTCCTGGGGAGGGGGCACCCTGCTGGGGCAGAGAGGGCCACTTGGGGCAGGGCACCATGGGCCTGTCCCTGGGGTTGCCTTTTTATCCATCCTGTCCTACCGCTGCTTCGTTACTAGCGTGTTACCTGGCCTTTCGGTGATGCTGACACTGGACGCAGTTGATGTCCATCACATTTGTGTAATTTTATCATCAAATGAGCTGGTTGTGTTAAATAAACCAGCAGTGAAGTCCCCTGTGCCTGATTCAACCTGTAGCTGCTCCAATCCTCCACTGAAGCTCCAGAGCGAGCTTTGGCACAGAGCAGGCTGCATGCGGACAGGACTTAATTACCATTAGGTGATGTAAGGGCTTGCTGTAAGGGCTGGATACTTCATTCTGTGTGACAGGCTGGGGCCAAGTGCAAGGCAATAAGCAGGTTAGATACAGATGTTTCTCTCTTCGTGTGCCCTCAATCACGTTGCATCCTTTCTGTCAACGCTGGACTAGTTTTGTGGCTAGTGCTGTGATGCTCAGACCTAAACTCAGCTGGGAGAAAATGTGAACGTCAAGGATGGCTGTGATCACGGCTCCGCTGGGCGTGTCAAACTGCGTTGTTATGGTTCTGGAGCCAAAGCCTCCAGCAGGCTGTGACACTTGCTTCTGACTGGTCTGTAACCAGCTCATCTCTCTTGGATAACAGACCCGTTACGGGAATCACTGAGGAGATGCCAGGAGCAGTTTTGGAAACAAATATGCCCGCTGTTGCGGCTGCTTCTAAGGAGTTACAAACCGCACCCACCAGCTGCCTGGAGCAGCAGTGTTTCTTGCAGCTTTCCTGGTCTTCTCTGAGCAGCTGCTGCAGGTCTCTGCAGCTCCCAGCTTGGTTCTAGAGCTGATGCTGTGCTTCCCTCCGAAGGGAACCCCAGACCCCCTTCAAAATCGGCGCCAGTTGGTGAAATGCCACGTCTGGCAGGAGGAATCAGGAAGCTGTGCTCCAGGTGTGCTGGGACGCCATTCAGTCTTAAAAACTTGGTTTTCCCTCTGTTCAGCTCTGAAGTTTACAGAACACGGCTTGCAGGATGAGCCAGCAGGAATTTGTGGTATTTGCTTGCTGTTCCAAATGTTATGCTTTCCCACAGCAGGGAGCAGCGAGCTGAGGACACTCCTTGATGGCACAGCCGTGTTCTGGGAAGGGAGCACAAATCACACCGGGCTCTGCGAGTCAGAATTGGGTTCGGTGCTGCTACCAGACATGGCTTTCCTCTGTCACTGCCCAATGTGGTCTGCAAACACTTGATGTCTCCTGACAGCACTGTCCCTGAGCTTCAGGGGCAGCCTGAGAGGTTGTGGAAGCTCTGCAGAGCCTGGCAGCGCTGCACCCACTCGTGCTGACGTGCAGAGTGAATGCCAGGGCATTAGTGGGAGGCGTGTAACTACAAGCAGTTGTAGTTCCAGGAACTTGAGCCCTGTCTCTCTGGGGAAAAGCAGAGAGGACTTTGGGGGCCAGCATTTTTTTTGCATAATATTAGGTTGGATTTAGGGAGAGAGGGGGAAAGGAAGAACACACCAACAGCAAATAATATTTAAAGCAGGCTTTTGGCCTGCAGTCCTGAATTGTCATACACTTGTTATTTGAAAGAATTCAGATTGCGGGAAAGCACCTCCAAACGGTGAAGCTGATTGGAAAGTTTTCTTACTGTAAATTTAGCCTGTGCCTCTTGAAGGAAGTTTGTTCAAGTGCCTCCCCTGGCATGAGGGTTTTTTTCTGAGAAGTGGTGTTCATTCTTTTCAGTCTCTTGTGAGAAGCTTGAGTTCCTCCAGTGCTCAAGGAGCAGCTGGCTGAGCCTTGGGAATGTCTGTGTGTGTAGGAGCTTCGTAGCCTTATTTGGGAAGCTGCTTCCCAGGCATGGGTCAGCATTCTCGCCAGCACCCGCGTCCTTCCTCTGTTGAGTAACACCAGTTTCCTTCTAAGAAGTTGCATTTGGTTAGCCAATCCATCTGGGAAATGCAGAGCCTGGGCTTTTTAAAAATGTTCCACGAATCCCTAAAGAGGCGATGATGGTCTGTCTGAAATGTGGGTCTAACTTTGCTGGAGGGTAGCGGTGCTGGGAGCCTCCCGGTGAGGTTTGGTGCAAGTTCTGAGGAGGCTTTGGCAGGTGCCTGATCCATCACTGCATCCTCTCCAAGTGCAGCTGGAGCTGGTTGATTTTCCAGGGCGATACCCAAAGTACCTGTTCATCCTGATACCTGAAGCTTCCCACCAGCTAAATAGGTTGTCTCGGATGTATGATGCTGGTTTTGGGTTGCAGTTTTGTTGAATGCTGCTTTTGTGGCTAAGGATCGATCTGCAAGTTTTGAAATACAAAGCTATAATATTTCTACAGAGTCTTATAATAAGGAGGTGTAATTTATAATAACTGTATTCATCTTACAGTTAAGTAAATAGTGTTGCCTGGATCTTTGCAGTTGGGGCATTTTCCTTCTGGCTGATGAGGGCTGCAGGGTGGCACCGTGCAGCAATGGTCCAGTAGCCAGAGGAGCTTCGAGGTGAGCACCTGGGGATACGTGACAAGGGAAGGCTGGCACAGCCCACCATGTTTCTGGGTCAGAACGAACTGCAGAAGTTCAGGACGTGAAAGGAGGAAAAAAAAAAAAGTGAGGGGAACTGCAGCTGTATTTCCCAGGAGAATACTGAAACAAATACCTTGCTCATAAACACCTTGAAGAAAACAACTGTGTGTGTTTGCTGAGTATGATGTGTGCCCAGCTCATGTGTCTCCTCTCTCAGGTGAGTTAGCATGAGGGATGAGGAGGAGCAGCAGGTACTGCACACCTTACCTTGCCTTTACTAAGGTTTGTTATACTCTTACCATTTCTCAGAAGTCAGTTTGAGAAATATGGTCCAGCCCGGTTTCTCAGACTTTAGTGATTGCCCGTTGGGGATCTTTGATCTCTTTCAAAGTAAAAAAAAAAAAGAGCTAGCAGTTAAATCCAGTTTTATGTAAACATTTCCTGCCACACCCCAGCAGTCAGGGGCAATTAACCGTTTTGGAGCCTCTCTGAGCTTCACATCCTGTTACTGCATCCTCTTGTTACTCCATCCTTCTTATTCCTGCAGAAGGAACTGGTCATAATTTTGAGCCAGTGCAACTGTACTGTTTTTATTGTACTTCTCCAAGTTTTGAAAGCCTGAAATGAAGTTTTCTTGATGCTCTGCAAGCCCTTCCTGCAAGAGGCCTACCATCCACAGTGCGAGGAGGAACTGGTTTCTCACATACAATAAAATTAATGTGAAACTGCCTGGAAAACCATTGCCAGGGAACTTGACAGTGGCTCACTGTTCAGCTGAAAGAATTTATCAAGTAAGTTCCTTGTTTTGGCTTGGATAATGGAATTGAGAATGTGCTTATTGAATTTGCAGACGGTACTGAGCTGGGAATGGATTTGAGAGCTTTGAAGAGCCGGATTAGAATCAAAACGAACTTGACAGATTGACCAAATGGTCTGAAAGAAATACGATGCAGCTCAATTAAAGAGAAATGCAGAGAGCTACACTTAGGTGAGAACAGCCGATTGCATGAAAATGGAACGGGAGGTGATCCAGGCCGTGTCCTGCAGAAAGACACGGTGACCGTGCAGGAAGGAGTAGCCAGCTTCAGGGTTTCATGGGAGGTTTTGCCCTTGTCTGCGTTTGTGCTTTTAGAGGCAGAGTTCAGAACCATTCCTCAGGGCTGAGATGGTGCAGAAAAGCTTCTAGCGGCACTGATCTGCCAGGTTTAACTGAGTGCTCCTGCAAAGTTAGGTTCTTCATTTTGGCTGGCCAAAAGTCTTTCCCCGCGGTCAGTTTCATGCTGCCTGTGATGCTCAGTGGTTGCTCTCCAGCTTGCCTCAGGTCTGTAGCGTGATATTGCTGGTGCTCAATGCAGCTATTCACCACATGCACAAAAGGCAACTTATGCAGCTCCTTCTCAGGAGGTGGTTCTTCAGCTTTTTTGCAGGTGGTGGGGTGTGATTTTCCCTTGTCAGGTGCTTATTAAATCTCCAAGACTTGTAAATTATTCTTCAGAAAGCATAGCAAGAAGGGGGACAGAGTAGCCGTGGAGCTTTCCTTTTGGTTTTCAGGAGACACTCTGGGGTAGTATCTCTGTTGTGTAACTTCATTGTGGTTTGTCTTCTCTGGGTTTCTGTTTACAAGATGAGTTAAACTCAATGTCTGTTTTTAAACTCACCCCATAGCATTGATACTCGTAGCTTAAAACAAGTCATTTTGATATAGATTACATCCCAAACTGGCTAGCCAGCGTAATCTGCTGTACTGACCATCAAAGGATTTTATGGATTCAACTCAGAACCCTGCATCATTTTAAATTAATTTTTGTTAACCTTGTGCCATTTCTGCATGTGGACAAAGCCTAATTTATATGCACAGCAGGGCCTAAGAACCAGACACCGATTTTTAGTCTAGACCCTGCTTTTATTACGTGATTTTATGTATGCCTTTGCTGCCTTCTCTTCCTTTTCATTATGTCTTTTGTCAGTAACTGTTTTCAATTATCAATTTTTTTCCTTGTCTTTTTGCACTCGCTTGCTACCACCCCGTGACATTTCCCAGCACAGGGCCGTTGCTCTAACAAACCCAGCTTCTGTCCAGCTGGACCAAGCTGTTTATTCCCGATTTGGGGAGGAGACTCCAGATTGCCCTGACCTGAGGGGTGAAAGGCGGCAGCTCTCTCTGTGCAGGTGAAGGCAGCGGCATCTGCTCTGTTCTTGTGCTCAGTCTCTGGGTAGGAATGTGGTTATCGAGTTATCGTATCAGCCTCTTTACCACAATTTTCTGAACGCTCACCACTTCCTGCCGGAATACAAGCTCATTGCCTCGAGTTACCTTGGGAGAGCAAACAACACGGCGCTTGTTTGCAACCTCAAATTGTCCCAGCTTTGATGTTTTGAGCCCCGTGGCCCTGTAAACGGTGGGGCTCCTCTTCTTTTCCTGCATTGCCATCCATCAGGGCAGCGGCTTCCTGCGTCTGCTGAGAGCTCCATTTATCTACAAACTCCCAAGCGATTAATCTTACTTCGTAAACGAAACCCAAAACAAACAGACGACGTGCTTTCTACCGGCTCTGGGAATTCTCCACTCGAACACGGGACCCCTTTGTTTGGGCAGAGGCCAAGCTGGATGGCAGCTTCCAAGCTATGAATCCTCCGTTTGTAGGACGCCTGGCTGCCGTGCACTGCCCCGGAAGAGGCACCGTGGATGTTTGTGGGAGCGGTGGCCAAGTGGCTGTGAGACCCGGGCTGCTGGAACAGTGGGCGTATTATAGCTGGGAAAGGCAATTTCCCCTGCCAGATCTCATTGTGCAAGAGGATTTATTCCTTCAGCCTTGCAAAGATTTCGCTTTGTTGGTTCCTTTTTTTTTCACTTGCTCTCCGAGACTTGGGAAAGAGGCCGGGGGACTGCAATGGAAAATGAGCGTTGGGCTCATCTGACTTGTGTTACCAGGACGGAGCTCTGCTGCGCTCAGACGTCCGGCTCGCATGAAAGCAACCAGCTGGCATCCGGCTCCCGTTTAATGTGCTGGTTTTCCCTATTTGGTGTGTTGTTTTTTTTTTTTTTTTTTTTGCCTTGAACACTTTTTGACATATAATCTAGCCTGCCAGATCTCATTGTGCAAGAGGATTTATTCCTTCAGCCTTGCAAAGATTTCGCTTTGTTGGTTCCTTTTTTTTTCACTTGCTCTCCGAGACTTGGGAAAGAGGCCGGGGGACTGCAATGGAAAATGAGCGTTGGGCTCATCTGACTTGTGTTACCAGGACGGAGCTCTGCTGCGCTCAGACGTCCGGCTCGCATGAAAGCAACCAGCTGGCATCCGGCTCCCGTTTAATGTGCTGGTTTTCCCTATTTGGTGTGTTGTTTTTTTTTTTTTTTCTTATGCCTTGAACACTTTTTGACATATAATCTAGTTTAGTAAACTGTGCTGTGCGGCAACTCTGTGTAGCGCTGGGAAGCGGACATGTGGCTCACTTTGGGTGTGTTCTGAATAAGGTATTTCCTTGCATTTCCTGCAGAACAAAAGAAATATCGATGTGGAGAGACACATGTTTGTAACAATGGTGGGTTCAGGGTGCTGAGTTTTCTCAGAACGTTATTATAAAACAATTACCAGAGGTTCTGTAAAGGCCACATAGACCCTATGAAATAAAATACCTTTCCATGTGGAGCTGCTTTTCCCCACTGCCAGGAACACCTCCCTTCCTGTTCTTGGAAAACAAGGGCCTGGCTAAAAGGCTGAGCTAACGGGGCTGATGGCCTCCAAGAAATGTTAAAAGGCATTGTGGTTAATATTCTGCAGGATATTGTATCATCAGCTTCTGTAACTCCTTGCCTCACCAAAAGAGGCTTCCAGCTCCAGGAAGAATCTATCCGGGGGCTGTCTCAGAGGTGAGAGGAGAATATTCCTCTAGGCTGTGGCGCACAAGAGACCTGAAAAAGTGTGTACGTGTGTTTCCCATTTGTGTTTACTTCCTACTGAAATCAGAGGGTGAAGGATTGTAGATGGGGCTGATCTGCTGGTTTAGTGGAAGCCGTTGGAGTGATACCTTTATACCAGAAGGTGGCTAAATACTTGAGGATGGGGAGAAGGAGGAGGGTGGGGATGGGGAAGAGAGAGCCCTCTCCTGCCAGCACGTTGGCCTGGATGTGTCCTGCCTTTGCTGCTTCTTTTTGACCTTTTGCAACGAACTTAAGAAACATCGTCTCTCTTTCAAGAGCTGTCTTCTGTGGCTTCCTTCTGCTGGCTTCACAGTTCTCCCTTTCCCCTCCCGCAGCGCCGCAGCCGCGCTGTTTTCCCTCAGTGCCTGCCCTTCCTCTGCCCAGGCTCTGTCCTGCCTGCGTAGATACGTCCCGCGGGGCTGAAACTGTCTGTTGCTCTGTTGGTACAGAGCTTGCCTTGCTGAGGCCCTCAGGCGAGGCTGTAATAAGTGTGATTATGGATAACAGGCTAAGGGAGGGACCGATGGCTTGATCTGCTGAGAGATGGCAGCTCGCAGCCCTGGTCCGAGCTGGGGAGCTGCACGGCTCCTCCCTTGCCAGGCATGAAACCTAGGGCTGGGTGCTCTCTTGGAAGGTAGCAAACATCTTATTCCTTGAGTTGAAGATGTAAAAATCCAGGCAGTATCTTCTGGCTTCACGGGTCAAATCTGAAATGTGTCGGAGGAGTTCTAGAGGCTGCCCAAACTCCGGGTGCAGCCAACTCTGTGATGGACTGTCAAAGCCTCAGGCACTGTAGTAATTGCACAAGCCAGAACTAGGAGATGTTTTTAGGAGCTCAAGGGTTCTGCCCTCCTCCAACACTGACCTGCCACCTTTTGGGTGGGTTTAAAGGTGGTTTGCAGTGTGGGTGAGGGAAAGAAGATGGATTTCTTACATGGCTTTTCATGGCAAAGCTGCTGCTTCGTGGTTAAAGATACTGAAGCATGTACCTACTCCTAAAAGGGCTTAAACTACTTAACAAAACTAAAATAAAATCTTGGTTTAAAATACTGTCACTTTCTGTGTGTTACTGTTTGTCGCACCGAATTACTACTAATACTGTTTTCCAATTTTGTAAGATAATTCTAAAAAAGAGTTGCCTTTGGAAGATTGCCATGTGAAGCCCCTGGGTGTGAGGAGCTTTGGGTTCCCTGGTGGCCAGCTGCGTTATGGCCGTCCAAAGGGTGTTCCAGGGCCTCTGTGGATCTTGGAAAGAGTTTCCTGTGTTCATTGTTTATCAGGCACTGTAAGAATGCTTGGATTCTTCTGGGTCATGTTACAGAGCTTGGCTTTTTAGCACCCGTTGCTGTAACACAGCTGAGCTGAGGTGCTACCCTTGCTCTGGGGAACTTGAGGAACAGATGACCCCCCTGCAATGTGACCTTTCTTCAGCACCTAGAAGTTGGGCAGCTTTTTGGGAAGTTGTTCTGCTCGTGACTCAGTCTGGGTGCAGGTTTTTTCCTGACTTTCCTGGCAGGTTTTTTCCCTCTAATCCCCACATCTCTGTGCTTTGTGCTGTGCTGCAGGTGGCTGCTGTGGCTCTGATGTAAAGCAGTACGTATACGGAGGCTGGGCCTGGGCTTGGTGGTGCATTACTGACACCCAAAGGTAAGGAAACCCCTGTTATTTATGGGTTTTGGAGTACGAGTTAGGCAAAGCCATCCCAGTGGGGCTGTCAGCAGTATCTTTAGGAACATGGGACTGGGCACTGCACATGAAACCATGGATGAGCATCAGCCCAGCCTGCTGCCCATGGCTGTGAGCAGCCCCTGGTCCTTTGAAGGAGGTCTGCCTCACAGCGCTGTAAGTAGCTGGAAAGACCAGTATGTCCCCAGCGTAGTGCCTCGAACGTGAGCAATGTGGGGTCACTCACAACTGCACAGCTTCTGCTATCCTCTGCTTTGAGTGGTGGGGGCTGAGGTTGTCCCCTGCAGGAGGAAATCCTGTCATTTCAACCTTACCTGACAGTAAATGATGACGGGCAAAATAAAATTGCAGGATGGGGGAGTTCTATGCTGACTGTTTGCTTGAGGACAGCTGGGTATCACAGTGCAAAAGACAAAGAAGAAAAGAAATCCCATGCTTTCAGCTGAAGTACTTTTCAGGTGACCTCTCTGTCCACGCTTTTCCTCAAACCTGAGGCAATCAGATTTTTTTTTTTCTTTTTTTTGGTTGTGTTTTATTTACATAAACCCCACCAAGCTGAGAGGGCCATAGCCTGGCTGGTCAGTGTGTCTCCTCCTGTGCTGGTGCAGCGAGTGCTGAGGAAGGCAAGAGCCCTGCTCTCCTCTCTGCTGCTTTTGCAGCACTTCACAGCCACGAGGCTCTCACAGAGGTGCTGGGCAGCGTGGCCACCGGGCTGGCTCATCCATGGGTTCACAAGAGGACCTGAGTTTTGCTCAGTATGGCCCAAACTCTCATCCAGTAAGAAACAAGTTTGTGGCATGCAGTGGGCCAGTGCACCCTCAAGTCTCTTCTTCTAAAGATGTGCTGACTGCTGTCACCTCGGGAGCAGACTGTGTTCCTATTTCAAGCCACGGGATTTCCTTTCTCTCCCTTTGCCCAGTCGTGGGTTTTGCTTGCTGCTTCTTACCCACTCTGCTGCTCTCTGAACTAATGTGCTGTGATGGTGCTGCTGTCCTGCCAATGTAGCTCTTCCTCTTTAGGATCTGTGGGAATGTTACTCTGTCCTAACACCTCCCTCTTGCTCACTGAAGCAGGTTTCTTCCCTCTGTGTAAAAAAAAATAATAGGGAAAAAGGATAAAGATGTGACTTTTGGGTTTTTGCACTGAGTGATGGCCAAAGGTTCTAGTTAACCCTTACTGCCTGATCTCGCCACCTCTTTTCCCTGTTCACGTGTTGCCACCAGCAGACAAAGTGAGCATGTTGCTGCCCTTGCTCTGCAGATGACACACCACTGTAGCTGCTCTTCACCTGGGGGCCAGGCAGCTTTGCCTTATTCGAGGGTTTCTGGCTGCTGCTGGCAACTGACTCACGACAGCTCTCACTCAGGTCCTCTCCCAGGTGGCTGGTACTTGGAATTGCCAGGAGAGCCTACCATAGTGCTCCAGCTGCATGAAGAGGTCTCAGCTAACACCTCCTGCTTTAGCCCGGGCTCTCTGGCGATGCTCAGATGAGGTGGGAAGGGAAGGGAAGGAAAGGCCCAGCTTCTGGGTTCAAAGCTTAACAACTGCGTTTGATCCAGACAAGCTTCATTCCCGAATTTTTGTGAGGGGGAACTGTTGATTTGAACAAGTTGTTTCTGCTTCTCCTTTTGTTGCATGAGAAGCCCAGAGAACAGCGCGAGATCTTGACCTGCCTTGTGCAGGAGATAACAGATGTATTCGGGAGGCTGACTTAGTAAGTTAAGCAAAGACTGAGCCCAGGGCCAAGAAGTGCTTGCCAGGAATGAGCTGTCATATGATAGAGGTCTGTGTGTTCTTTAGCAAACAGGGCCCTTGACAGGAATGCCAGCACCCAAACAAATATTTTACTTTAAAACCTATACTCTCGGTTGATGCCATGGTATATGGGGCTTAATTCTCCTTTTGAGAACAGAGCCTTTCCCAAATACCATAAGAGGTGCCACAGATGGAGCCTGCTGTATTAACTTGAAGAGTGAGGCAGATTTCCTCCTCTGAAATTAGGACATCTTTTCTGGAACTACCAGTGCTGAAAGCAAGAGAGACAGCAGCAATTGTGTTGCTGTCAGCGGCATCCCGCCAGGTAGCACTAACCTGGAAACAAAAGGAACAGTTAGAGCTGGCAGGGTGCTGGGCTCTTATCCTGCTGCAACCTTGAGGACTGGGAAAAAATAATAAAATCCTGTCCCTGTTTAAGGGTCAGAAATAAAAGCAGTGAGAGAGGCAGCACGGTCTTAACACGCCTCTGGGGGAACCAAATGGTGTTATTCAGCTTCTCAGGACAGCACTTGGAAGCACCTTCTCTCATCAATGCCTTAGCCAGGGGTGGGTAGCCAAGTCCCTGGCATTTTCGTTTTTCTGGCCCCTCTTAAATGTTGGCATAGAAGCATTTAAATTATTACAAAATGGAATTTTCTGTGTGTGAAAATTTCCAACAGAGAATTCCAGCTGGCTCCAGGATGGCAATCCAGGTGGGATAATGTGGTTCAGTTTCATCTGCGGTGACTTGAGGGACACAGCGTGGAGACGAGCCCCCCAGCCCATTTATCCTCATTAAAAGAAGCAGCTGGATGCTGTAAACTCCCTGCTTGACGAGGGAAGCTGCTCTGGCCCAGCGTTATTATGGAGCCCTGGGAGAGGGGAATTGGGAAAAAAGGCAAACTGAACAGGGAAAAAGCTGAAACCTGAAAGTCTTGTCTGTCCTTTGCAATGAGTGTCTTACTCTCTGTTAACTGCTTTATATATTTGCTGTCCTACCTTTATTCCTCGCTGCTCAGACTGTCTTTGGAGGTTATGACCATCCTCTGTCGCTGTGAGAATATTGAGACGTCGGAGGGGGTCCCACTGTACGTAACAGGGGTTGCACAGGTAATAATCCACCAGCTTCCTAACATCCTGTCTGACTGTTTAATCCCTCTGTTTTGAGCAGCAGCAACAGCAGCAGCAGCAGCAGGATAACATAAAAGCTAATGGTTTTCTAATGGGACAGTTGAAATCTCAATCCCCTCCTCTCCTTCCCCTTCTCTGGCGCTGACCCTGGGGCGCACTCCACGGTTTATAGGTAATGCAGACAGATGTGTATTTGGCAAATTCCAAATTCAGCATCAACATACCAGCTCCTTCTGATAACGCTACAGACATTTGCTTCAGCTGTAACCCTTTCCTCGACAGCACTGTCTCCAGGTCTGCTTGGTGGAGAGCAGAAGGGCATCTGCTTTTTGTGTGGAGCCACAGCCAGGCCAGATCAGGTTTTGGGCAGGATTTCGGCAGCTTTTGTGCCATTTCAAAAGGAAACCTGTACATATGTGGGGAAATTACAACCATACTTGGCTCTGTGGTTTTGGATATGGGTTTCCACTTAGCCCTTCTTTCTCCACGTGGAGACAGTGCCCTTTCTGGATGTTGTCACGTTTGAAAGGACAGCATGGAGACCTTGGATGAGTTTCAGCACACAGGACTAGCGTTTGCACTGTGAGCAGTTATGAACCAGTGTAGCAGTAATTACCAAACATCCCTGCAACTCGCCAGCTAAGAAGCAGCACAGTATTGAAATTAAATTCAAAGTATAGATTAGGTCTTCAGAAGGCTAAAATCCTGCGTTAGCTGATTACAGCTGTGAAGGCATATGGCAAAAAAAATGCCTGTGCGCGTCCTGGACAGTGGGATCTGTTTTATCAGCTCCCAGCTTGCGTGCCAGTTTAATTAGGACAGTGGCCAAGGCAGGCATGAACTTGCAGAGATGCGTTTGAGCACCTCCAGCCAATCCTGGAGCAACTCAGCGCGCACACAGCGGCCCAGCACAGCCCCTTCATGGTTCAAATGTCTGACCTAATGTTCGCTGACACGGCTCTCTGCCCTGTGGCTCCCTGTCCTGACTCCCACTGCCTTCCTGGCTCGTTACAGCTGACAGTAGAGCCAGGCTTTGCTTCCTGAAGCAGAACCTGCCACGGCCAAGCATCTCTCTGGTTTTACCAAATCATGATCTGCAGGTTGCTGGGTCTGGCCAAAGTACCTCCAGCCCACCTTGGGTGACTTGAGAAAGCCCTGGAGCTGGGGGATCTGTTCCTGGGTGCCTGATACCATACAGGCATGGCCCTAAAGAGATGATGATTCACTTTGAGTTGTTTTTGGGTCAAGGGACATAGGAAAAAGACAGGAAAAGCTAGACCAGGTCTGTGTTAATATTAACCCAGCAAGGGCAAAGGCAGGGCTGCTTCTTGCAGCATCAGCCACAGGTTTTTGCCAAGCACCAGGGCTCATGTGGGGATGGCAACGTGGGGCGGGCGGGAGCATCCCGGGTCCATGCTGTGCTTTTAAACCAGTGACACCAACCAGTGAGAGCACGTGCTGCCCCAGCGTTGGGCAGCGTGGCACAGAGGGCTCTTTGGGCTCTCAAAGCTGCTAGCCTCTGGCCACGTCACTAGCCCAGCAAAAGGGAAAGGGTCACAATATCGTTTCCAGTCTGGCTTCCAGCCTTTCTCTGCTGATAAATTGCCTTTAAGCGTTATCTGAATGTCTGTTTTTTGGCCAAAGTGACTCCTCTGTCTCCAGTCACAGATGTAGTCCCTCGACTGCATTCTGTGCCTGTCTTACATTACCTGTGATGAGTGCGGCAGGTAGCCCGGGGCAGGAGATACAAAGGGAAGAGCTGAGTGTGTGTTACCTGGAAACGTGCAAATATTTTACGTTTTTTGGCAGGATTTCCCTAGAGATAATGACGTTACAGCCCAGGTGTGAGGACGTAGAGACGGCGGAGGGGGTAGCTTTAACTGTCACAGGTGTGGCACAGGTACAGTAACTCCAAAACATCATTTCAGGAATGCATGTCTCTAACTTACATCTGGTTTTCCCCCTTAAGAGGTTACTGCTGTCCAGGAACAGAAGCCAACTGCCCTGAAACAAATTCTTGTACAAAACCACACTGTCCTTATTGGTTCAACCACACTTCAGCATGTCCTGTGTTGTGAAGGGAGTTGTGACCTCTCCTCCTCTCCCCAAAAATCGTTCCTTTTTTTCTGGTGTCTCATTTGTCCCCGTGGCAAATGAGGTGTATGTGGGTGACTTGATCTGTTTGTGAAACGCTGATGTACCGTGGTGCCCTTAGAGCTGTGTGTCACCCCACAAGACCGAGCTGTTCACTCCTGAGATGGTATCAAGCATTATGTTACTTTGGATTATTATTATTAGCATGTGGACGTTGCAGTTCTTCACGGTGAGTTAAAGCTTAAAGAAAAAAATTAGTCCCTCCAGGCAGTAAAATTTGTGTGTAAAATTTCTGGCTTGAATTGAATTTTGATTCTCTCAAGCCTTCTTTGTATGTGAAAACCAGCTCTTGCTGTTTGTGATGGTACAGTTAAACACCTGCATTTCCCAGATGCTGAAATCTGCCCTGATGGAGAGTTTGTCCTTGTGACCAGGTTCTGCCTTGGGGAGGATGCTGGGAAGAAAATGTTTTTCGGTTTCGACTGAATTTGACTCCTCAAATAGGCAGCTGGATGCTTTGATTGAAAATCACTCCTGACAGCTCATTCTGGGTGAATAAAAAACAAGGTAGTGATTCTCAGAGCGCACACAAGGCTGCGGTCACCGTGTGTCCAAGGCATGTCCAGGTCTGTGGCTGCAGGAGAGGTGACTGCCACGTTCCCTGAGCTGAGTGTGGAGCCGAGGGGAGCTGCAGAGTCACTCAGTGATGTGACCAAAACCCCACCTGCGTCAAAAGGCTCCCCCCAGGGAAGAGCACTGTAGCTGCTGCAAACCTTTTAAAGACCAAGTGCTTGATGGATTTCACCCAGTGCTTCCCAAAGCAGTGGATTCCTCCCCAGGTTCATTGATTTGCTCTGAACTGACGTTGCAGAGGAGCTACGTGCTGTGTCTGTGCGTAGCTGAGGATATGAATTCTGCCAGGAGCGGTTTCTGGATTGTCACACATGGCAGAAGGGGCTGGGCACAACTGTGACTCAACAGCAGATCATCCCTCGCCCCACTGCTCTTGGGGAACGGGGCTACGTGCAGGAGCACCAGCAGAAGAGCCAGCGTCCTGGGCTTCTCCTGGCTCTAGTGCTGTGAACCAGCATCCTTGTTTTCAATTTTTCAGTTCTTTATATCCTTTTAGCTGTTAATGTGCCACGTAACCACGGTGGTCTTTGCATGGTTGGCAAAATAAATCTGTAGGCTTTTCCTTCTGTATTTGGGAAAGGTATTTCTGTGAAGCCAGCATTCCTTTTTGTCTTAGTTTTGGGACATCCTTCCATTCCCTACAAAATGGTCTAGGTTTTGCGGCGTGCGCTAGTAGAATCACCAGGTGCCTTGATTTAAAAACACAGCTCCCAATCCATCTCATTTATGTTATTCTCTCTTGTCACTGTTCATTTTTTTTTTCACTGTCCATTAATTTTAAAGGCTTAAACTTGTGAGATGCAAGGAGTTACCATGCAGAAAGCGGGCTTGAGGCAGCTGGGGAAGCGCGTGGCAGAGGTTACCTTAATTTTGCAGAAGAGCTTTTGAGGCAAACATTTTTCTTCTAATGGCTTGTGCAAAAGAGGAAAAAAGCAAATGAATTATTACTGGAGAAACACCTTTTAAAATGTTTGCCTTAACGGTGTAAGGATGCTGATCTTTTTTTTGAGGAGGGATGGAATGAGTTGCCCCCTTCCTGTGTTGGCTGGGTGCTTGGGACGCTGCTGCCTTAGGCCACACGGGGCTTTGTATCCTTTTCCCCTCACCATTTTTCTGAGCTTCAAGCTAATTGGGTTGTCTCTGCTGATCCCTGGCTGTGATTGCAGCTGGCTGGAGCTGGGTGGGGTGGTATCGATCCTCGGGGTGGGATTGTTTTATGGAGGCTCTCTGATTTCCTCCAGCTGAACTCTCTCTCTGATGTGAGTGACATTTGAAGACGCACCGAGTGTCCCGGTGCCCTGTCTGAAATGCTGGAAACAAGCTGAGCACAAATTGCTCAACTCCTGTTTGTTTTGGGTTTTTTTTGTGTGCAACCTTTGCTTTATAGGTTGACATCCATATTCAGCTGGTGGCCAGGCTCATTCGGGCTGTCCGGGATTTACCAGCTGCTGGCTGGCTTTATTCACAGAGGCTGAATCATTCCTTGCTCCTGTTAATTACCTCAGGGACTCTCTTAACGAACATCCCGCTCGCTCCGTGCTCTGACTGTCCTCTCCAAAGCTCCCGAAGGGTGGGGATTGTTTAGAGAGGTGGAATTGCTGGCAGATGCGCACCATAAACGTTGCTGCTGAGTGTGATTGGGTTTGGTATTTGCAAAAAACCATCACGTTTGCTGGTAGATGAGCCTTGTGCGAGGCACCCGCTCCCGTGCATCAGCAGCTCTCCCAACTCCCCCTTGTGTAGAGAGGGGACACTGCTGGCCCAGGGTGCAGGGACCAGAAACTGCTGTGGCCTGACCCTGTAAGGAGCCCAGAGAAGGCAGAAAGAGGATTGTCACGCTTGCCGGGGATTCAATTTGGACTTTTGACTGGGAGACCCAGCCTGAGAAGCAAAGGTAGGAAATAGGCTCAGCCCAGGTTGGTGTTTCTTCACGTTACTAAGGTAGAGTTGTGGCAGCTGAGTCCTGGTGAGCTCAAAAGCATCTAATGCAAGTCTGCATCTGGTCCCCTTAGAGGATTGTGGCTGGTCCCAGTTGTCCTGCTCTCTGGCAGTGCTGGGGACTGGGTGCTGCTGTCCGACTCTGGAGATTAAGGATCGTTTTGGACCCATGGACTATCAGACCAGGCTTTCTCAGGAAATAGTTGTGTTGCTTTTGCCAGCAGTTCGACCCTGAAAATCTGTCGGGTAGGTGGCAGGATGGGGTCCGTAGGCTGTGAACCCATCAAGAGCATGCATTGGAACCCTCAGGGGGCCTTTGTGCAGCACCTGAAGCTTCTGAGGTCTCTGGGCCAGGACCATTCTGGCATCGCAGGTAGCAGGAGGTCCAACCAGAGCCCTTGGGGCAGGACACAGGGTGCCACCAGCATCTCATGGGACAGGAGGTGCTGCCCAGCCCTGATGTCTCCATGAGAGGGTGCTGTGGGACCCTCTCAGTGCCCAGAGGCACTGGTATGGCCCTGCTTCCCTCACCAGCGATACCAGACACACCGACATCCCAGTGTCCAGGCTTTCCTGAACCCTCCGACTAGACCTGGCCACCAAGAGCTGTCACCTCGGTGGGTTGTAGCTCCTCATAGCTGGTTCCTGTAGAGCTCCATGAGCACACATCTCCACTGCCTAACATACTCCATAGGGAATTTTAATACACTTTGCCTTTAAAAAGCATCCCTTTGACCAGCAGGACCACCTTAAGACCTTGGCTTGTCTGGACCTGGGGATGCTTTTACATCTGGCCCTGATGGTGGGAGGGGAGAGTGGTGCTGGAGTGGCCATGTCCCACCTCTGGGTATCGATACTAGACAGACACTGTGGAGCAGGACAGCCAGGTCCTGGCCATGGCACACTGGGATCACTGTGAAGGGTGGCTGGGAGTTCCCAGCCACGAGCAGGATCAACCAATGTGCTGCGGCCATCTCCTCTCATCTCTCCTTGCAGGGAGCACCAAATGAAGCCCCTGTCCCCAGGCTGCTCCTTGGGCATTGGAGAGTCTTCCTTGTTCTCTGCCTTTCCTATGTCAGAAAAATTAATTCTAGTGAAGGAGGAGGAAGAGAAAGGTAACAAAATGTTTTTTGGCCGTGAGTAGTAATAGAAACCCTTCTCTCCTAGGTGTCAGTGGCTGAACTGGTAGTTCAGGGCTCTTTGGTAGAGTTTTCATCAGGTGGGACTTGTAGGGCCTGGCTTTGTCCCCACATCACCCAGTGGCCACTGCTGTGGGAGCTGCAGGGAGCACCTCTCCGTGCTGAGCTGCAGTGGGGGTCTGGAGAGGGGTCTGCCCCAGATGCTGCTGCATGTGCCTGTGGCAGGGCTGTCCCCAGCAGCAGTGAGCGGGGGCTCCCTGCCTGGTCCCGTGGCCTGGCTCAGCGTGGTGACAGCTCAGCATGGTCCCTTGGAGCATTGGTAGCACAGGGGTCTGGCAGCCTGGTGGTGGTACTTGCTGCTTCTGCTGCTGCTGTTGGCTGCCTGTCCCTCTTCAGATAGGTGCCTTCAGTCCCTTTGGGTTTGTCTCCTCTCTCCAGGTGAAGATAATGACTGAGAAGGAGCTCCTGGCTGTGGCCTGTGAGCAGTTCTTGGGGAAGAACGTGCAGGATGTGAAGAACGTGGTCCTTCAGACGCTAGAGGGGCATCTGCGCTCCATCCTAGGTGAGGAGGGTCTCACACTCTTGAAGGCATCTTGAGTAGCTTTCTCTCTTCTCTGCTGGCTGGTCCCAGCAGTGTTGCTGCCACCCCAGCAGCCACAGTGGGTGCTTCCTCTGCTGGCTGCAGAGGTGGCATCTTAGATGGTTCCTCCCCGACAGCAGCTCCGGCTGTGTTGCTGGGTGTTGTGATAAGTGAGTTTTCAGTGCCTGTACTAAGAGATGTCTGAGTCCCTGGGGGTTACAGGTGCGTGGGGTGGTTGTGCTTGTGAGACTGAGACATTGGTCTGCCCTGCAGGGTCTGGGCAGAGGATTACACCCTTGCACCCAGGCCTAAAGAGATTAGGGGCAAGGAGGGTGTTGCTGATCTTAGGCCCACGCCATTGTGTTCTAATTGTTCCAAATAAAGCACTTTGCCTTCTGTCCCTCTGCAGGAACCCTGACGGTGGAGCAGATCTACCAGGACAGGGATCAGTTTGCCAAGCTGGTGCGGGAGGTGGCAGCTCCCGATGTGGGTCGCATGGGTATCGAGATCCTGAGCTTCACCATCAAGGTACACCCAAGGCGCAGGGTGCTGCCCCACGGGGCACCGGGCAGCTCTGTAGAAGCAGCACAACAGAGCCTGGCCCTGGCTTCTCTGCTGCAGGTGGCTGGAAGGCTCAGGCTGACAGCCTGCCCTAGCCCAGGGGAGTTTCCATGACAGCATGTCCTGTATCCAGGCAGCTGGGCAAAGAGAACCCAGTTCACTGCCTCTGTAAACACAGCACAGCTCCTGGAAAGAGCTCCCTGATAACCAAGCCTCTGGGGAGCCAGAGGGAAGATGTTGGGAGAGCCCACCTCTCCTTGTGTTTCTGTTTGGCATCAGGCTGACATGGCTCTTTCTGACCCTCTTCTAACCACACAAATGGTCGCTCTGAGCTTCAACGGGAAGGGAGCAAGATGGAGCAGCTCGTTTGAAGTGGTTGTGACTTCTCTTCCCCTCTCCAGGACGTCTATGATAAAGTGGATTACCTGAGCTCCCTGGGCAAGACTCAGACTGCGGCCGTGCGAAGGGACGCAGACATCGGTGTGGCAGAAGCCGAGCGAGATGCTGGTATTCGGGTGAGTCTGGAGATGTGCTGGGCATCCCCAGAGCAGCTTGTTTTGCTCCAGCTGCACACCCTGGAGCTCTGCTCTCTGTTTCCTCTCTGCAGGAGGCAGAGTGCAAGAAAGAAATGCTGGATGTCAAGTTCATGGCAGATACCAAAATAGCAGATTCCAGACGGGCTTTTGAATTGCAGAAAGCTGCCTTCACTGAGGAGGTCAACATTAAGGTGAGAGGTATCTGACAGCCCACTGCTGTTCCCTGGCTGGTCCATGATGGTGGTGGCAGCTCTGGGACTTGCCAGCTTCCTCCTCCTGCGTGTGTTAGGAGAGCTGGAGGTGGAGAACCCAGGTTTCTATGTCACAGTGTGAGCTCCTTGCAGCAGATTCCTCTTCTGCCCTGTTTGCAACAGTTAGGTGGACTGGGAGGAGAGGAAAGGATGGGGAGGGTCATCCAAGCTGAACCTGGAGCTGACTGAGCTCAAGTGCTATGGGAAGAACTCACAGGGAAGTACAGCAAGAACTGCTCTGAGGATGGGGACATCACCTCTGGTTGGAGGTTTGGTCCAGAGCAGGAGCCACGTCTGTTTGCGGAGCCTACCAAGGGTCATTATGTCTGTGCACAGGAGCTCATGGCCAAGACCCCTCTTCTCATCTCTCCCCTGTGCAGACTGCGGAGGCCCAGCTGGCCTACGAGCTCCAGAGCGCCCGGGAGCAGCAGAAGATCCGCCAGGAGGAAATTGAAATCGAGGTGGTGCAGCGCAAGAAGCAGATCGATGTGGAAGAGAAAGAGATCATCCGGATGGAGAAGGAGCTGATTGCCACCGTGAAGCGGCCGGCCGAGGCCGAGGCCTACCGCATCCAGCAGATCGCCGAGGGCGAGAAGTGAGTGAGACCCTCACCCCATCCAGCCCTGAGCCCGGCTGCACGCTGGGCTGGGGTGAGGTGGGACCAAAATGTGGCAGGTCCTGCCCTGAGACCCAGCTCCTGGGCTCTCTGTGGGGCAGGAAGGTGGCTGAGGGAGGGAGGGAGGGAGGCAGCGCTGTGGGGATCTGGGCAGCTGGAGGGCTGGGTTTCCCTTTCCAGGGTGAAGCAAGTCCTCCTTGCTCAGGCGGAGGCGGACAAGATCCGCAAGATCGGAGAAGCGGAGGCCTTTGTGATCGAGGCCATCGGGATGGCGGAGGCCGAGAGGATGAAGTTGAAGGCTGAAGCGCTCCAGAAGTACGGAGATGCTGCCCAGCTGGCTCTCGTGCTGGATGCTCTGCCTGAGGTGAGGAGGGAGCAGCTTTCCCCCACTGTGGGCAAACGGTGGGGAGTTCCCAGGCTGGACCAGGCCTCCTTGGGGCACGGAGAAGGCCCCATGCAGTGGGGACCTTACCCAAGAGGCTGGTGAGCAGCTCCTTGACTCTCTGCTCATCCCACCCTCTTTCCCTGCCTCCCCAGATCGCTGCCAAAGTGGCTGCTCCCCTTTCCAAAGTGGACGAGATCGTTATTCTCGGCGGAGAGAACAACAACAAGACGGCGGAGGTGAACCGTCTGCTGGCCGAGATCCCCGCCTCCGTGCGCGCCATCACTGGTGTGGATCTCACAAAGGTGAGCTGGGCACTGGCAAGCTGGAGATTCCTGCAGCTTCTAGGCCACGGGGACTTGCCTGAAAACTTTCAGACTCCTCAGGAGCCTCTTCTTCCCCAGCTGCAGAGGACAGGCAGCTCCCTGCCCTCCCCCTCTTCCATCCTAACAGCTTCTCTCTTCCCCCCCTACAGATTCCCCTGATCCAAAAAGTCACTGGGACCCAGGCATGAGGCTGGTCAGCCCGAAGCCGGTGAAGATGACCCCCTGTTATGCACTCAGACATCAACTGCCTTCAACACGTGGGAATTCCTTTTATATCAAAGACAATCGGAGTTTCGTTTTTGAGCTCTGGTGCCTTATTTTGTAGGGCCAGAAAGATGCATGTCCAATCAAGCCACTGTTTTTATTACAAAGGGTGGGAGGGGATTTATTTTGTAATTAAACGGTAAATTATATCGGGCTGGGGTTTGGATCTGGCAGCTTGTCTGGTGTTGCAGTCCCGGTGCCTTGCTGTTCTCTGTCCTCAGGTGACCGCCCAGAGCTCCGAGCAGAGGCTTGGTGGGACGTGGAGTATGGAGCTGTGGGAAGAGAACAGCCAGGACCCACCTCCCCTGGGCTCCCTGCCCTCCCGTAGCCACCCTCCTGGGCACTGCCCAACCTCTGCCTCTGCCCACAAGCTGGTTTTTGTCTGGCTTTCTCCCTCTGAGTGTCTCACCCACAGGGCCCCCCCAGTGCTGGCTGTCCTGCCCAGGTTGGACTCCCTGGAGGTGACAGTCACAGTCCTGGGAGGGTGACAATCAGGGACCGTCGATGCCCGCTCCCGTGCTGCCTTCCCTCGGGCATGTTTCCTCCTGGGGTCTGGAGGTGGGAGAGCTTTTAGGGGGGGCTGATGGAGCGTTATTGGAGGGAGCCCAACTCAGCCCTGCTCTGAGCCAGGCTTGGTGAGGTCCCGCCACCAGCAATGCCAAAAAGCTGTGCTGTACCAAAGCCACCCCATCCTCCGAGAGGGAGGTGAGACCCCTGAGGCTGCTGTCCCCGAGTGCCATGGGACACCTTGCCCCCCATAACTGCTAATGCCACGGATAAAGGGGCACAGAGAAGCCAGGCAGGGCACTGCCGTGGGGACAGGGCAGGGTTCTCCACCGCCGTGGCCTGTCCAGCTGGCCAGGGACCAGTGCTCCTGGGGCTGTGGCTGTGACAAGCAGCCCTGCTGGCCCCCTGCCTCTTATGGCCAGTGGCTTTGCTGCCCTGATGACAATGTGAAAGAGGTTGTCCCCTGTGTGTGTGTCCCACACTCCCTACAGTGCCATGGGGGCTCTGTGCTGGCCCGTGCCCCTTCCCCCCCGTCTTGTCCCCTGTGCTCAGTGTGGCTGTAGCAGCCAAAACCATGTGTCAAGTCAGCCCAGTGGGGTTTTGGTGACCTGTGCTGGTGCTGGGGGTCCCTTTGCCCTTCACCCACAGCTCGGTGCCACCCTCCCCATTGCCATAGGGTGAGCACAGGTCCCCCCCTCTGCCCTCCTGGCCATAACCCCGGTACTGGCCAGTCCCTTGGCCAGGAGTGACCCGCTGTGGGGCCAAATGGGTGCCGTGGGGCCAAATGGGTGCCATGGGGCTGCCGGCACCCCATTCCCCCTTCTCTGCTGCCGGGGGGTGGGGAGGACCGGCCTTATCAGCCCCTGGCTTGTGCTGGTCCCAGGGGGCCACCGGCACAGATCTGGCGCTCGCCGGTGGGTGTGCCGGGCGAGGCCCACTATCTGCATGTGCGTGTGCATGTCTGTGTCCCCCCCCTGTCACTGCTGTACGATAATAAAGCCTTGTCACCACCTGCCTTGGCTCTCATCCTCTGTCTCCTGCACCCATCTTCCACCCGTCACCCCCCCAGAACCCCCCAGGCACTGCCAGAGCTGGTGCTTGACCAGCCGTGGCTTGAACTTGCTGGCCTTGAAGTGGGCACCCTTTGGGATGGGGGATGTGTGGAAGTGAGGTCCCAGCTCATGCTGCTCCTACTAAGCTCCTGGGAGCTCACGGGCTCTCTGTGGTCAACTGTCTCCCTGTAGGCTCCTTGTGCCATCCCTGGGGCAACTCCTGGCCCAGTCTTAGGTGGGGTAAAGCTCCTGCTCCTCATGTGTGAGCACGGAGCCAAGGGCCACCAAGGGTGGCTGGTGACCTCCAGCTGCATAGAATCATAGGATGGTCAGAGTTGGAAGGGACCTTAAAGATCATCTCCTTCCAACCCCCCTGCTCTGGGCAGGGACACCTCCCACCAGACCAGGTTGCTCCAAGCCCCATCCAGCCTGGCCTTGAACTCCTCCAGGGATGGGGCAGCCACAGCTTCTCTGGGCAACCTGTTCCAGTGTCTCACCACCCTCACAAGAAAGAATTTTTTCCTACTACCTGATGTAAATCTCCCTCTTTTCAGCTTAAAACTGTTAGCCCTCACCCTGTCACTGGTAAAAAGTCTCTCTCCAGCTTTCTTTTAGTCCCCCCTTCCACAGAGGCTTGTCCCAGGCTCCTTCCCAAAGGGCTGGAGCTGGATGCCCGGAGCCGTGGCTGGTCCTGGGGGTGATGGAAACGCTCCAGGGTTGGGAAGGGCTGAAGTCACAGAACCATGGAACGGTTTGGGTTGGGAAGGAACCTTAAAAAGATCATTCTTGGTGTCATGCCCGGAGCCGTGGCTGGTCCTGGGGGTGATGGAAACGCTCCAGGGTTGGGAAGGGCTGAAGTCACAGAACCATGGAACGGTTTGGGTTGGGAAGGAACCTTAAAAAGATCATTCTTGGTGTCAACCTGTGAGTGGGAACTCACCAGGGGGACTTTGCTGCACTGCCCTTCCCGGGGTGAAGGTGGATCCCTCATGAAGACCCTCTGTGCCCCCCCCCAGGGCTGTGCAGGGGCACGGACAGGACAAAGGGCCCTGTCCCATGTGCCCCACAGCAGGGTGGCCCTGCAGATAGGCTGGGTGGGGACAGCTCGGCAGCCACCCCCACCCTGGTGGCTCCTTATCTCCCCCCAGATACACTGCCCTGGAGCAGCACGGCCGGAGGGAGGGCTGTGACACCCGGGGGTCCCTACACCAGCTCCACAGCCAGTCTGGGGGGACACTTGGGGTCCCTCTGCCCCCCGGGGTGCAGGGCCATGGGGCAGGGCTGCCCTCATGTGCTGTGGGTGCTGAGCAGGATCGGGGGGCAGCCCGGATGGGGACAGCCCCATGGGGCTCACCTGGGGCTGGGCAGGCTTGGGGGGTTCTTGGGGACACTTTGCCTACGTCACTCCTCTTGGTGCTGGGGTGCCTGTGCCACAGTTTGGGGAGCAGTACAGCCCCCCGCGGACACCTCTGGGTCACAGCAGGGGCTGAAGACAGGAGGGGACAGTCCTTTGCAGCCCCCAAATCCTGGTGTCCACTTGCCCAGGGACAGGCTAGCGCCAGGGCTTGACCATGTGCCACCTCCTGCCAGGGTCTGGCCAGGTTGGAGGGGCATGTGGGGGGTGATGCTGCCCCTGTTCCTGTCACCCAGAGGTGACAGCGGGTCTGGGGACACCTCGCGTGGCAGGGCAGGGTCCCTGATAGCTGGACGGTGCTGCTTATCGTGGCCCCCAGGCAGACGGTCCCGGGGGGGGATTATCACCTCCCCACAGGCGGGTTCCAGGAACATCGGTGCAAACAACGGGGTGGGATGGCCCTGCAGGGACAGACAGGGCTGGGGACACGCATGGTTGGGGGACACGTATGGTTGGGGGACATGTATGACCAGGGTCATGCACAGGTGACACACATAGCCAGGAGCTGCAGCCATTTGGGGACATTCATGCCCAGAGGGGCATGTCCTTTGGGGACACACAGCTGGGGGATACATCCCTTCAGAGGACACTTTTCCCTGAGGGGGGTGACATGCGGGCAGGGGACACGTGTTCCCAGGGGACATGTCCCTCCAGGCTCACACAGGGCTGGGGGACACATACTTTTTGGGTGGGATGGACACGCAGCCAGGGGATGTGTCCCTCAGGGGAGCATCTATGGCCAGGGGACACAGCGCTTTGGTGGGGGTACACAAGGTCCCTGCACCCCCACACCAATGCCTCATCCGGGGGTGTCTGCACCCACATGTCCCCCCACCACCACACTGGACCCCGTCCCCATGGGCCTGACACCTGCCATGTCCAAAGCCCCCATCCATCAACTGGGAACCAGTTTCTTCCAGTTTGGGAATGGCCAACTATGAGGAGGGACCATCCTGGTGACCACAGGGGTCAAGGCAGGAGGATGGGGGCGTCGCGGGGGGTCACCCCCTCTGCAAAGGCACAGGGGGTGGGCCCCTCACAAGTCCCCCATCCCCAAGATCCCCATGGGCTATGATGCCAGGCTAGGGGGGAGCTGCCCCCCCGGGCACGAAGGGGTTAAGGGCCCCCGTCCAGCTGTGCAGTGCAGATGTGAGATATGCAGATGAGGCAGAGCAGGTTTTATAAGGCGGGTGCAGACCCAGCACCCCGCAAAGCCCCAGTGCCACCCCCAGAGGTAGGTGCCACCTCCTGGGGAGCTGCTGTCCTGCTCTGAGGTGGTGGGAGAGGGGGGACAAGGAGGGGGTAGGGGGCAAGTTGGGGTTGGGGGGGTTATTGGGAGCCTTCATCCTGCTCTGGGCTGGTGGGACTGGGGGGGATAAGGAGGAGTTAGGG